GGCCCACCAACTACATTTCCCTGTGTGCGAACCTTCCCGAGTAGATCCTGGTTAGCGATCATTCTCTGATCGTAGCATTTGCCAACACATGCTGACAAAGCGACAGCACGTGCTGACTAGACGCGAAGCAAGTGAGATGTGAGTGGGAAACTGGAACTGTACTTCGCTTCCCTGGTAAGGTGAAATTCGTTTCTGTATTTCGACTGATTTTCAGATATAAAATTGGCATGCGCTTATAATAAATCATGAATTTTTAGGGGGTGCGCTTATAATCGAGGACCGGATATAAGCGCCCTCATCCTTTTATAAGCGCCGGCGCTTATCCGAGGCCTGCGCTTCTATCCGGGGGCTTACGGTAGTAGATGTGTTGTGAGCATGGTCTCCACATGGCGTGTAATGAGCTCCTTCCTGGCTGGCCATTTTTGTTAGCCAAATATCTGCACGTTTACAGCATGGTTCTTGTTAACGCCATTTTTTTTTTTTGCTGTCTTCGATTACTGAATCACTAATGGTGGTCCACTCCACTATCTGGAACTCAAATGGTGGTGACTACCCTCTTTGAAGGCAGTTGCGTTTTGCACTCTGCTACTGTTTATGTTGTGCTGCTATTCTTTATTTGGTTGGCGGGTTTGTTAACCCGAGGACTTTGTTAACCCGCATTTTCTTTATTGTGAAGTGGCGAATGGGTGTTCATCACTCGGGTCGACGAGGTCTGCGTCAAGCCGTAGATTTCGGAACTATCGACGCTTGTCGACAAGAGCTTCTCCAACCTGAAACGAGTATCGACCGTCAAAGCACGACAGCTGTTTCAACGGTCACGATCAGCGGAGAACCAATTCTGTCCAGCACAAACCGCGGTGGCCCAGGCCACTACTTCGTGCCTTCCGAACCAAGCTCGGACCTCGCCTCCGAACAATTTGCTTTGGAGCTTTGGCTCGGGGTTCGCAAAGCCAAGCAAGCTCGTGCAGCCCTGCTCCCCTGCCTGTGACCTGTCTTCCTTCCGCTATTCCTCCACAACTATCGGTAGACAGCTGCCAGTATATCAATCGCGCTTCTGTTCCAGAACTTGTAACTCCAGCCTTCATTTCTCCATCAACCTGACTGTTAGAGCATTACCAACGCGTACTATTCCCGTCTGTCCGTAGACATTTCCTTCCGTTGATAGTTCCTCTTGTCACACCATGTCAGGCCGTGGAAAGGGTGGCAAGGGTCTTGGAAAGGGCGGAGCCAAGCGACACAGAAAGGTGCTTCGCGATAATATCCAGGGTATCACCAAGCCCGCTATCCGTCGTCTGGCAAGGCGTGGCGGAGTCAAGCGTATCAGTGGCCTGATTTATGAAGAAACTCGAGGCGTGCTTAAGGTCTTTCTTGAGAACGTTATCAGAGACGCTGTGACGTACACTGAGCACGCTCGCCGGAAGACCGTTACCGCCATGGACGTCGTCTATGCTTTGAAACGCCAAGGTCGCACGCTCTACGGGTTTGGCGGTTAAGCTTATCATTGCCTTGTATAGACCTTCGCGTGGTTTGTTCTGGTCTGCACCTGTTTTAACAGCTTGTTAGTGTTAGCATTATGAGAATGCATTCTTTCTTTATCATTCATCTAATGGCTTGACCTCTGCTGTTTTACGCTTTCTCTATTATGCATAGTTCTCTGATAAGTACCAACTAAGTAGCTTGGATGGTAAATAACATGGAACATCCTCCAAACCAGTGGCTGAAGCGTTTGACGTAGTGGCTGAAGATAGCTTGCAATTAGCATCAGATAACATTGATTAGCCAGGAAGAAATGCTATGGATCATCCCAGCAATAATTACTGATTCTGTAGCCCCTATGAGACATACAGGGGTGGAAAATGTCAACTGGGGACAGACTGCCACATGAAACACACAATTCACACATAACTAATACCCCCTAAAAAACATTTGTGCTTGCTAAGGGAAAAGAACTCGCTAAGGGAAAAGAACTTTCTTACAAGAGGACAGCAGTTCCTCATACATTGGGTCTAATAAAGATAAAAAGGTAGGCATCTACACAGGGCATCTCATAGCTGAGTTGACAGCTTCGACTGCTGCGGGGACGAGCGCTTGGAACATAATAGTGAGAGGATTGATCAAAGAATGGTGCACCCACATCTGCCAGATGCTGCATCAGCTGGTTGTTGTGTTGCTGCAATTCAACACACGGAGGGGGAAAGAGGGGGAGGGCCAGAGGTGAAAAAGAGGGGTGGTGGGGGAAGCAATGGCAAGAAAATGAGAGGGAGGGAGGGAGGGAGAGAGAGAGAGAGAGAGAGAGAGAGAGAGAGAGAGAGAGAGAGAGAGAGAGAGAGAGAGAGGGGGAGGAGAGGAGGGGAGGGGGGGAGGGGGAAGAAAAATTAGTGCGGAGGAGGGACCGATGAAAGGAGGAAAAGGGGATGGGGGAGGAGGATGGAGAGAACAGACAAACGGAGGTGGTCACACGGAAGCAGAGATGAGAAAAAACGAAGCAGGAAACATTGCAGGCACACAAGCATCCAATGCGAGCATGCAGAGTGAGAACTGAGAGAGAGTGTACGGTCCACGGGGGAAAGATGGGAGAGAAACGGAGAGGAATGGAGTAAGAGTCTGAGAGAGGGAGGGAGGAGAGAGAGAGAGAGAGAGAGAGAGAGAGAGAGAGAGAGAGAGAGAGAGAGAGAGAGAGAGAGAGAGTGAGAGAGAGAGAGAGAGAGAGAGAGAGAGAGAGAGAGAGAGAGAGGGGGGAGGGGGGGGGGAAAGGGAGGGGGAGGGGGTGGGGAGAGAGAGAAAGGGGGAGGTAGGAGAGAGAATGAGTACCTGTGGTTTTGTCTGCTTGGGCTGGGTGAACGACGACGTGCATTGTGATCGGAGTGCCTACGATCTCGCTCACGGGAACACGAGACTCAGACAGAGTCTTAGTGTTCTCCAGCAATCTCCCAGCGTTTATCAGAGTAATCTCGTTCACCGATTTCGGACCTCCCTCTGCAGAGCAAAGAAATTAAGAGCAGACGTGGAAGAACGGAATCATATTTGCGACCTTCCTATATGGACATCTGAATAATGAATATTGCTTTTGCGTAGTGCTTTCAATTCCTCTTTCAAAGGGTGTGAAAGCTAACAACAAGACAATGAGATCATGATGGCATGAAAAAAAAGGGCGCAACGTAAGATAGCTGCAACCGCATGCGAACCGCAACAGGTCGTGACTGAAGGTAGGTCATATAGATGAAGACGCGGGTGATGGGACTAAGGAGTGAGAATAGCGGAAGTGTACAGTCTGATAAAGCATGGATAGAGCGTCGTCGGCAAGGTAACGCGAATAGCAGGGCGTGAATAACGACGCTTAGCAGAACGGAAGTAGGGCATGGAGAAGCGTGGCACGTGACAGTAAGGAATATAGAACAACGAGTGAGATTGAATAGACCCGCAGAGACGGCTGGCATAAGAGCACAGCAAAGAAATAAACAACATATACACACACACAAAAAAAGTCTATAATAACCCATAGCTGAAATAGTACCTCCAGGCCATTGAGCAAGTATCTTTTCCTTCAGCGACAAGACAGTAGCCTCCTGCTCGAACTTGTTCGGACCGATGTCCGATCCGTCCGCTAACCGAAACTTCACTTCTATCGGCTCGTCCGACACGACAGCCATTGGCTCCCCCAGCTTCACGCAACCCTAAATAGGGGTAAATACCCCTACTGATCTATAATTATCAGAAGAAACTGCTATGCTTGATAGGTACTTCTAATCAACGCCAAGGAGCCAGTCTAAAGTGAAGTCTAGATCACGAATAATAGGGACGCTTGCAGCACACAATTGTGAAATCCATGGAGGCGAGCCCACATCGGTAACTCTCTATGGAACGCCAGCAGATGAAGTCAACGATTAGGTCGGTCAACGGCAGGGACAGTGGAAGAAAACCTAACTAGCGTGAAGTGGGAGGAGGAAAAGGTACAGTAATAGGGAAAACGAAAATACCACCAGTGGGTGAAGTTTGTTGAAGCGGAAACACCTGGGGACAGAGTAGAGCCTAGGAGGAAGGAAAAGCAGGGGAAGGCGGAAAGAGGAAGCAAAGGGGGTGGCGTGGAGTGGCGGGGAGGAAAAAGAAGCCCTTGGGGGAGAAGCTGGGGAATGGCTGGGTGAAGCACGCACGACCTGCGGATATGTTGTGGGGATGAGGAGAAAGGGGAAATGGAGTACAGTGTGCAGTACACCTGTACAGTGTAATGGAGCTCGGGGAAGGGGGAAGCCTGGATGAGCGGGAGGAGACAGATGGCATGCAAGAGGCGCGGATGTGAGATGGGCGGCGGTGGCGCGGGGAAGGGAAAGCGCGTGGCGGGAGCGTGGGTGTTGAGGCGGTTGGTTTTGTCACGCGGAATTGTAAGGTGAAGCTGCACTTTTCGTCGCAATCTCGTTGCCCTTTAATCTCGAATGTGTTATCCATATCCTGGCTACAGTGAGGCCATCTAATATTATAAAACGTTCTACCCTACATCGAGATTTTGCGAGTCGCAACAGCGAGTCAGAGCAGTCAGCATGCTTACCCGTTCAAATTTTACCGCGCCGTGCCAGAAGCTTGCCGCCATCACCGCGAGCCCAGTGCTCCAACCACGGCCGTCCATCCTTCATCGAAATTTTTGATTCACGAATCTCGCAAGATACTGTACAACAAGCAAGATGTTCCCTACTCGACGTTCCCTTTCCTCCTTGCCCCTCCTCGCTCCCTCTAGTTTCTTCACTTCCATTTTCAATCGTCAACATCCCTAAGGACACAGCTTACAGAGATGTGAGACCATTTTCTGTAAAAATAATCTGCAAGAGTAGTATCTTTCCGTATTTTCCATTTTTGAAGGACGACGATAATCAAAAGTTCGCTTTCTTGGCCGCCTCGTGAGGCGCCACTGTCATAAACGCTTCCTTATTGCTAGTGCTTAACTCTCGAAGCCCTGAGAGCAATAAAAAATCGCATAGTGATCTGCACAGCCTTCTCACGGTTCCGCGATGGCGCCAACGCCACCATCTTTGCGTTTACTCTCCACCGTCCAGTCACTCGGCCTGGGACGATCCACTTCGCCTCGTCGATTCTCGTCTCTTCGTCAATCTCTTTTACTCCACCCTTCGACCCTAGCTCTCGCTTCTCTCTCCTTCTTTCTCCTCCTTCCCTTCACTGTAGTCTCGACGTCTCCAGACGAGTTTCCGCCTCCTCATCCCGACGACGTTGCCGCGTTGATCGCGCTCAAGGCGACTTGGGGCGGCTTTCAGGGTTCCGACACGTGGCGCGTAACCCGCTCTTGCCGCGAGTGGAAAGGCGTGACATGTGACCCAGCCAACGGTCGAGTCAGGCGGATCGACCTGTCCGGATGTCAGATTCAGGGTAGGCTGCATAGGGATATCGGCAATCTTCCCGCTATGGAGTCACTCATTTTAAGCAACAACGAGATCGATGGTTTTCTGCCTGTTACTTTATCCCGTTTATCGAAGCTGCAGTCGCTGTTCCTAGATAGGAACAAACTCAGCGGGCGAATCCCGGTTGGGTTGGGGTCGTTACCGAATCTTCGCATGATCGACTTTGGTTTCAACAATTTGACCGGCGCGATTCCAGACGATATCGGTTACAGTAGGTCGATCACTTCGCTCATTCTACAGCACAACCAAATTGGCGGGAAAATTCCGTCCTCTTTAGGAGCATCCCCGTCTCTGTCTGTACTCATCCTCAATAACAACCGCATCGATGGGCAGATTCCGTACGCTATAGGAACAGCTCCGAATCTGTATTCGCTGGACTTGAGTCACAACAGACTGTACGGACGGATTCCCGATGTGTTTTCGCGTTCGCCCAGCCTTTACATGTTCAACGTGGCGAACAACTTTCTCACCGGTCAGCTGCCCGATTTCCCTGCGAAAAATGGCGACATTAACGGCGAATCCGAGTTTTTCGTCGACGTGTCGAGCAACTACCTGTACGGGCCGCTGAAAATGATGATGGGAAACGTTTCAATCTGCCCAACAAGTGACCGCGTGCCTGGCTTGCGAGTTTCAGTGGGGGGTAACTGCATGTCCGGATCTTTCAGCTGCCCGCTACACTTTCTCCAGCCTCAGCGAAAGCCCGCCAATTGCAACGCTTTCTGCAAGACATTTTCGTTCGCCGGGCAGTGCGGCGGGCAGGGAACGTGCATTCCCAAAAGCTCGATTTCTCAACGCCTGATGCGGAATGTGACGTGTGCTTGTAACGAGGGTTACCTGCCCGATCCTAAGGATCCGTTCGTGTGTCGCGAGGAGGGGGAGCTTTCGGAGCAAAAGGAGGACGTACTGCGGAAAGAAGCACTGTGGAGGGCGGAGGCGGAGGTGGAAAGCGGCGGAGGGGAGGCGGAGGGGTGGCGAGGGGCGGAAGTGGAGGAGCGAGAGGAAACGGTGCAGGGGGAGGAATATCAGGGGGAAGGGGAAGAGGGGGAGGGGGGGGAAGGGCAATGGGTGTCGGTCGGAGATTTAACGGAGCAGGAGGCGGAAACAAGCGCGGCGGAAGGGGGGGATGAGGTGAGCGTGGGAGAGTGGGGAGAGGTACGGGTCGGAGGAAGGGCGGGGAAAGGACGGGGAACAGGGGGAGCGGGGGGAGCAGGGGCAGCGGCGGAAGGCAGAGTGGACAGGATGTTGAGGGGTAGCTGGGGGCTAGGGAGGGCGTTGGGGGAAGGGGGACGGAGGTGGGGGGAAGGGGGACAAGCGGGGAATGAGGGGACGGCGGGAATTTGGAGGAAAAGATACTCCAACACGAGATATGACAGATATGACGCGTTTCCTTAAATGAGGTTCTTCTAAGAGAGGTTCTTACAGGGGGGTTCTAACAGGAATAGGGGGACATGGAGGAAGGGAAGGGGAGGACGGGACTAGCAGAGACACTAGGGAGTGTGGATGAGGTTGCATTGTTGCCTTTTATTGAGAAAGGACTTACAGCCATAGGCTTGGTTATGCGTGGGTATTTTGTCTTGAGGGGGAGGATGAAGGGCGGGTTGGGGGGTTGTGAAGTTCGGGATTTGGTTTGACAGATACCGGTAGAAACCGGTAACTTGATAGTACCAGGTGATCCCGCGTACTCAGCCAGTATGCTAAATGACCCTTACTCTGACCTAATCTAGACTCCTGCAGTTTGCTTTGCGAATGCTTACACCCTAATCCTGACTCCTGAAAAACATCACACATCGTCCAAAAGCAATCCCATTTTACGTCCATGTCACGGTGCAATTCGCTGAGGAAATGAAGCTGACAGTATGGAACCACATTGCAATTATCCTACGTCTTGGATGTAGATTGCATCCGGAGTGTGCCTGCAAAAGAGAATTACGATAACAATGATGATTCCAAGAAATGTGGCAATAATAGAAAAGCGAAACCACTCACTCCATGAATCCAACAGCCTTCTCGAAGATGTAACTGGAGGCCACAGCGAGGAGTGATCCGTCGTGGCTGAAATCGACAGACGATATGCTCGTTGGATAGCGCACGGTGCTGTGAACAGATGGCTGCAAAGGGGGGAAGCACAGGATGGGAGCATTGTAAGGAGTGCTTCAAGCAAGGGATGGGAGCAAAAGGAAACGCATTTGGAGGAAAAAATGTCTAAGTGCATGAAGCAAGGAGAATGGGTATGGGACACGGGAGAATGGGTATGGGACACGGGAGAATGAGTATGGGACACGGAAGAATGGGCATGGGACACGGGAGAATGGGCATGGGACACGGGAGAATGGGCATGGGACACGGGAGAATGGGTATGGGACACGGGAGAATGGGTATGGGACACGGGAGAATGGGTATGGGACACGGGAGAATGGGTATGGGACACGGGAGAATGGGTTTGGGACACGGGAGAATGGGTATGGGACACGGGAGAATGGGTACGGGACACGGGAGAATGGGTACGGGACACGGGAGAATGGGTACGGGACACGGGAGAAGCGTGAAGGGGCCATTGTGGCTGAAATCGACTGACGAGATGCTTGTTGGATAGCGCACGGTGCTGCAAACAGATGGCCGTTTGTGTGGGTATATGACAACTCAAGAGGCACCAACGCCACCAATAGTACCTTTCGGTGCTTGCTGCTGTGTGCTGTGCTGCTCCAGTGGTCCAGCACCCCATCGCACGATCCTGTCGATGCGACTTACAGGCGACTCAAGGGATACCAAGATCATGAGAGGTACAGCCTTGACCTTGACCACCAACAATACCTTATGCTGCTTGCTGCTGCGTGCTGTGCTGCTGTGTGCTGTGCTGCTCCAGTGGTCCGGAACCCCATTGCACGATCCTGTCCTGTCGCGTTTTTATGCGACTGACAAGGCGACTCAAAGGACACCACGACATAAGCAGTACCTTCCGGTGCTTGCTGCTGTGTGCTCTGCTGCTCCAGTGGTCCACCACGCCATCAGGTGCCCCTTGGTGCGGTTTACAAGCCAACTCGAGAGGCACTATGACCATGGCCAGCACCTTTCGGAGCTTGCTGCTGTGTGCTGCGCTGCTGTGTGCTGTGCTGCTCCAGTGGTCCAGAACGCCATCGCACGATCCTGTGGCGAGACCACATGTGCTGTGGATGTGAGGGGAAGAGGAGGGAGGGAGGGAGAGAGGAGAGCGAGAAGGAACGACTTATGGAGAACGAGTAAGAGGCCATGGCACGTGATCTTCATGTGTACATGGAATTCATGCCACATGCATGCATATGGGAGGCCATGGCACGTGATCTTCATGTGTACATGGAATTCATGCCACATGCATGCATATGGGAGGCCATGGCACGTGATCTTCATGTGTACATGGAATTCATGCCACATGCATGCATATGGGAGGCCATGGCACGTGATCTTCATGTGTACATGGAATTCATGCCACATGCATGCATATGGGAGGCCATGGCACGTGATCTTCATGTGTACATGGAATTCATGCCACATGCATGCATATGGGAGGCCATGGCACGTGATCTTCATGTGTACATGGAATTCATGCCACATGCATGCATATGGGAGGCCATGGCACGTGATCTTCATGTGTACATGGAATTCATGCCACATGCATGCATATGGGAGGCCATGGCACGTGATCTTCATGTGTACATGGAATTCATGCCACATGCATGCATATGGGAGGCCATGGCACGTGATCTTCATGTGTACATGGAATTCATGCCACATGCATGCATATGGGAGGCCATGGCACGTGATCTTCATGTGTACATGGAATTCATGCCACATGCATGCATATGGGAGGCCATGGCACGTGATCTTCATGTGTACATGGAATTCATGCCACATGCATGCATATGGGAGGCCATGGCACGTGATCTTCATGTGTACATGGAATTCATGCCACATGCATGCATATGGGAGGCCATGGCACGTGATCTTCATGTGTACATGCCACATGCATGCATGGAATTCAATGGCATTCATGGCATGGCACATCTTCATGCCACATGCATGCATGGAATTCATGGCATTCATGGCATATCTAAGGAGTGTGAGCGGCCCACGCCTCATACATGCATATGGGCATGCACATGAATATAGTGCATATACACGCATATGTATAAATTCCATTTATACATGTAATGTAATAGTACACTGCAAGCAACTTGCCTGGGATTTATGGCTATAGAGTTGACGGGCGAGATAGCACCGGTGCCACCAGCCATATGATGCTCACAGGCAAACGTGAACCTGCTCATAACGAGGATAGAATGGAAGAGGAGCAATGGCACATGTAAATTCACATTCCTCATAAATGCCGTCTGATACTTCTAATTGCTACTTCCTAAATACAGTACCTTGGGATTATCCTGACGCCATAAGTTGTGTTCCATGCCATGCGATCGTCCATTGATCCATTTTTATTCCAGCTACTTCCAATGAAAAGTACCTTGAAATTATCCTGTCGCCATCAATTGTGTTCCATGCCACCCGACTGTCCATCGACCCATTTTCAATGCAGCCACTTCCAATGTGAAGTACCTTGAAATTATCCTGTCGCCATCAATTGTGTTCCATGCCATGCGACCGTCCATTGACCCGAGATAGAACCCTGACATGCGTTAATTGGATGCATGCATGGATGGGAAGAAGATACACTAGAAAGCTCAAGGATCTCATCCTGTGTACAGTACCTTGGGACTATCCTGTCCCCATCAATTGTGTTCCATGTCATCCGACCATCCATTGACCCGAGATAGAACCCTGACATGCATTAATTGGATGGATGCATGGATGGGAAGAAGATTCTGGAAAGCTCAAGATCTCAAAGATAAGTACATGTTTTTTAGCCAAGTAAGTATACAGACAATAACAGCACGTGGCACACACAATAATATATCGTTTTGAATTTAACGCCCCACCCGAACCAACATAGACCCACCTGAGACAACAGATTCTCACCTGAGCCAACAGAGACTCACCTGAGCCAACAGAGACCCACCTGGGCCAACAGAAACCCACCTGAGCCATCAGGCATCCCTGCAACGCATCTTGTCTGCTGTCGGAGCGACGACCTTCCCCTAACCACCAATCCATGCGCCACGTTATCACACGCCACGTCACCACTGCCACCGTGGTGCCACGTGGCGGCCTCTGGCCTCGCCACGTGGCGCAGGTCGTAAACCGCCACGTGGCGATTTGCCGTCGCAACAAGCAGCCTGTGCTGTCCTAAAGACGATAGGCAATCCACCCGACCACCCATCTCCACAACCACGTGTCGCTCCGCGCCCTCTGCTTGCGCATTTGAAGAGACACCGACACAAGGAGCAGCAGATAGTGACCAGGAGCCTCCTGATCTGACCTCCCTCACGAGGGGTTGAATGGGCGCGTGGGAGGAGGAGGAAGCACCGGCAGCGAGAGGCATCGAGACAGCAGCAGTGGCGGCAGTGGCAGGAGCAGCAGGAGCAGGAGCAGCGGCCATGGCGGCGGCAGCAGGAGCAGCAGCAGGAGCAGGAACAGCGGTAACAGCAGCAGCAGGAGCGCGCATGTCCCAGCAGCGAACGGTGTGGTCCCACCCGCCTGATACGAGCACCCCTGCAACAATAAGAGGATACCAACAACAATAGTGCAAAGAGGGACGTGGGGGGGACGGGGGAAAGTGCAAAGAGGGGCGTGGGGGGGACGGGGGAAAGTGCACCCATGTCTTTTGATGGTGCGGTCCCTATCTCCTGAAATAACGAGGGGGGAGGTGGTATCTACAACAACCTCACCCAATGGGGGGAGGTGGTATTCAAAGACCTCTCTCTCACCCAGGGGGAGGTTGTATTCAAGTCGCCTCACAGGTCCCTCGTGCCTTCCCACCACACTCCCCACCTTCCTCTCCAAATCAAATCTAGAAGCGCGGACAGGGGAGGATTTGGTATTGGTAGCACGGATGAGAAATCAAATCTGACAAAGTGGGCGGGTAAGGATAAAATATGGAAAGAGGAATCAAATCAGGAAAAAGGGACAGACAGGGATGAAAAGAGCCTTGTTATAACAGTGAGTGGGAGACATGAAAATGTGAAGATAGAATATGAATGAAAATGAAGCTTATTGAAGCTATGGTCTTATTGTCACACTGATATCGCATTACGGGCATTGCGTACATCGTTACTGATTGGTCCACGCTGGCAGCAGCTGCCACGTCATCACTGGGCCCCACGAAGCAGCAGTCAAGCAGAGGAGCAGATGCCACGTGGGACGAAGCACCCCCTTCCTCCCGGTTTCCCAGAAGCTTCTGATCGCTCTCATAATCGCCATGGAAGTTTCCTCGAAGGTGCGCATGGGAGAGCTGGGTCTGCAGGTGCCTTGAGGTTGCGCCCGCATCGTACAGTCGCAGAATCTGGACCACACGATCGGGACGGGGATCGGATCCAACGGACAAAAAGAAACAAGCACAAGTGCACATCTCCTCCTGAGTCGACTCAAGAACGGATAAACAAGCATGGCAGCAGAAGCAGGAACGTTGACCAAACAAATCCATTTAAGATTGCCTCTCAAATAACCCAGTGCCGTACTTCCTAGCCACAAGTCCCCATACCCCTTCTCTCGACTCGAAAGTGCGGTCCTAGCCACACGTCCGTCCATCACCCCACTCAATGGCATCCCGGCCACTCGCACATCCACTCACCCCATCCCACGAGCAGCAGAGCAGCCGGGTAGATAGAAATCCGAATCGCACGCGAGTCACCGCGTCTGCCGGGGGGTTCTCCAGCTCTCGATCCCTTGGGATTTCCGATATCGCACCCTTAGAACTAGTAGCAACTCGCTCGCCCTTGCTCTTAGTCTCCATGATTGCGTTGCTAATCATTGGATCAGCCATTTTCGTCTGCACGTGTCAACCTGCTGTCACCCGCAGTTCCTAAGCTGTCCCTCTTACGTCTTTCCCTAACCACCCTCCCAAACTCTTCTCCCGACGCAGCTCCGACGCTTTCCCACTCGACGCTGCTCCGGAAATCACCCATTTTTAAAAGGAATGACGCATTTGCGATTCGAGCACGCCGAGGCGCGTAAGAACGACACCCTAAGATGAGCCTCGTGTGGAAAATCAAAGGACATCGCACATCCGCGTTCCCGCTGCTACTAGAGGAGTAGGTGGTCGATGCGCAAAGAGCGACATTATAGAAACACGGCGTTGCGCAATCAGTACGCTCGCGAGGTGTCTGCCTGGCGCACTCGTGATTCGTGAATACCTGGCCATGCGAACGTGAGGCCGACACGTGGCAGGTAATGCAACTACGAGAATGCTACTAAACGTCACCCTGAAGCATCTGCTCAAGAGTTGTGACTGGGCTCACGACAGCATAATCTACTCGGTTCAGAAATATTTTGAGCGGTGCAGTACGATAAACAATGGCTTAGATGCATGATTGCGCATTTCAGGAACAGTTAACTGTTTGCGGTTCAGCACGGTTTCTGGCGTTTGGCCATGAATTTCTTCTTGCACTACCTGATGTTAGTACAAGACATCGTTGAAGATTGACAGATAGTTAAGTGAGTAACAGGGTGGTTACAGCCATGCTCCTGACTTGATGGCCGAACATAAAGTTTCCAACTCTATTTACACGAACAGGGTGGTTACCGCCATGTGCACTTCCAGCACACCACACCATGCAACCATGATACCATGGTGCAATGTTACACCGTGCAATCTAAGGGTCGCACTACATACACCTGCTTCTCTTGTTCCCTTCAGTCGGTTCGTAATTTTCCGTAAGAATTTTGACAGGGTTGAAGTGACAGACAGCATGAGGATGCGAGACAGTTACCGTATCACCACTTCAGAAGGTCCTGTGAGTTCAACAATCACCACATAAGAGTCAGGAAAAGAAGCACGCATTCGATAATCAAGCATGTGATGTGAGTCAAGTGCAACTGTCTGCTTCAGCGTTAGATTAAGGAAAAGGGAAGACTTACAAAGCTAACAGTGTAGGAATAAAGCACTCACCAGAGTAGGCGCACACGCGTCACCAGCAAAAGACCCGCCGCCACCACCCCCTCCACCCATATCCCCGAAAGACCCCCCTCCTCCCATGCCAAGCCCCGAACGAACCCCACGAATGGGAGCGCAAGCAGAGATTGACACAGGCGCGGGTGAGGGGTTTGCGGCAAGGGAGAGTTGCAGCCGGGAAGAATGCTCCGAGAAACCCAGTGATGTGGTGGGTGGAGGAGGAGGAGGAGGGGGAGGAGGAGGAGGAGGAGGAGGAGGAGGGGGAGGAGGAGGAGGAGGAGGAGGGATGGTAGAGGATAGAGGGATGGGTGGAGGAGTGGAGGAGGCAGGTGGCAGAACGGACGATGCATGCCGTGCGGTCGGACGGAAGGAGGATTGCGAACCGGACACGTGGCGGCCTGCTATTGGTGCTGCTGCTGCTGCTGCTGCTGCTGCTGCTGCTGCTGCTGCTGCTGCTGCTGCTGCTGCTGCTGCTGCTGCTTCCAGTCCCCCATCTCCTGCGTCTGGAACGCGGCTGCTACCATAATGCTCATTCCCCATACCATGATTCCCCATACCATGATTCCCCACACCATGATTCCCCACACCATGATTCCCCACACCATGATTCCCCACACCATGATTCCCCACACCATGATTCCCCACACCATGATTCCCCACACCATGATTCCCCACACCATGATTCCCCACACCATGATTCCCCACACCATGATTCCCCACACCATGATTCCCCATACCATGATTCCCCACACCATGATTCCCCACACCATGATTCCCCATACCATGATTCCCCACACCATGATTCCCCACACCATGATTCCCCATACCATGATTCCCCATACCATGATTCCCCACACCATGATTCCCCACACCATGATTCCCCATACCATGATTCCCCATACCATGATTCCCCACACCATGAGTCTCCCCCACACTCTGATGCCCCCCCACACCCTGACGGTCCCCCATGCTCTGAAGGCCTCGGAATGAAGAAAAGCCGTCCGTGTGTGCAAAAACGTCATGCAAATCGCCCGTGGGTGCGTGCATGTCAGAGAGCCTTATGTTGGGGGGGCGGACGTGAGAGGGCCCCATGCGTGGGCCCATGTGCGGGCTCACATGAGGGCTTACATGACGGGGCATGGGTGCATCCATGGGTGAGTGTGTGGGTGCATGGGTGGGTGCATGCATGGTTGAGTGCATGGGTTGGGGCATGCTCGGCATGTAATCTGGCATGGTACCACCCACACCACACATACCACCACCCATGGCATTCATCTCACTCATGTTACTCCCCACACCACCCATAATCGCATTGCCTCCCATCCCTCCTCCTCCTCCACCTCCCATCCCTCCTCCTCCCATCCCTCCATTCCCTCCCATTTCCCCTCCATTCCCTCCCATTTCCCCCCCATTCATCATCATTATCATCATTGATTCAGCAGCACCAGTTCCCATCATCCCCCATTCCCCTGCGCCTCCTCCCAATGAACTCCCCCCCATCGTTCCCCCCATCGTTCCCCCCATCGTTCCTCCCCCCATCATGCCTTCCCCCGTCACTCCTACCCCCATCGTACCCCCGCCCATATTTTCTTCCAAGCCACCCCACATACCTCCTTCCATCTCTCCTCTCATACCCCCTCCCAATCCACTTACCAATCCACTTCCCATACCTCTTCCCATACCTCTTCCCATACCTCTTACCATGCCTCTTCCCATGCCCCTTCCCAGACCGCTTGCCATACCTTCCATTCTATTGCTAAACTGCTGTACCATACCTGCTTCCATGCCTGTTCCCACGCTTGTTCCCATGCCTGTTCCCGAACCCCAGTCGGAAGCTCCCACCCTGCCCCTTCCGTCCATCCTCCCTCCTGCTTCCCCCCTTTCTCCCCCCCCCCCCCCATCCCAGCTGCACCACCCGTTCTCTCCCCCATTCCCCCTCCCCCTGCGTGTTCCCATCCGCCCATTCCCCCTACTTCTCCCCCACCTCCCCCCCCTCCCCCTGCCCCTGCTGCGCCCATCACCCCAGCATCTACGTCTCCCCCCCACATCGCATCCCCCCCTGCTCCTCCTTCCCCAATCTCCCCTCCCCCCATGCCTCCCCCCATGCCTCCCCCCATGCCTCCCCCCATGCCTTCCCCCATGCCTCCCCCCATGCCTCCCCCCATGCCTTCCCCCATGCCCCCTCCCCTCACGCCCCATGCCCCCATGCCGTCTCCCCCAAAGCCCCCCATCCCATGCGCCTCTAGAATCCTACTCAACACAGCATCTTCCGTCCCCCCCATTCCGCCCATTCCCCCCATTCCCCCCATTCCCCCCATTCCGCCCATTCCCCCCATTCCGCCCATTCCGCCCATTCCCCCCATTCCGCCCATTCCGCCCATTCCCCCCAGCCCCCCCACTCCAGCCATTCCCCTCACCCTCCCCCGCACCACCCCCACCTCATGACTTCCCCCAGCCATCTCTCCCCCCATTCCCGCACTTTCCCCTTCCCCTACCCCTTCTCCTCCCCCCATCCCTCCTCCTCCCCCCTCCCCCCTTCCTACAGCCCCAATCCCCCCTCCACCTCCTCCCCCTCCGCCTCCTGTTCCTCCTGCTCCTCCTCCCATCCCCTGCCCTCCCCCTCTTGCTGCAGCAGCATTCGCAACACAGGCAGCATGAGCAGCACGTGCAGCACGAGCAGCATTAGAAGCAACACCACCACCCGCAGCAGCAGCAGCAGCACCACCACCAGCAGCACCAGCACCACCAGCACCAGCACCAGCACCAGCGGCAGCAGCAGCAGCACCCATCTTTAAGCCCCTCAATGCTCCCTGAATTGTCGCACCATCCGAGAGCAAGGCATTATAAGCACCCCTTACTGCTCCTCCTCTTCCCCTCCCTCTGCCTCCTCCTCCTCCTCCCCCCCTCCCCCTCCTACTCTCCCTCCCTCATTTCCTACCCCCCATTCCTCTCCCGAACCTCTCATTCCTCCTTCTGAGTACACAGCCTGGTTCGATGGGTGGAATGTGGCTTGGTTCGATGCCTGGAATAAGGCTTGGTTCGGTTGACTTAGTGCCTGGAAGGCAGCTTGGTTCGGCGCTGGAAAGGCAGCTTGGTTTGATGGTTGGAATGGATGCTGGTTTTGCATCTGGAAGGAGCCTTGAATCTGGGTTTGAAACGAAGCTTGGTTGCGTGCAGCATTCCCACCAGCAAGCACACCGGGTTGGTTGGCTGCCGGGATTAAAGCCTGGTTTGCACTGCCACCGCACGCTTCTTCCATGTTGTCGTTATTAGCCACGCCAGCAAGGGAATGCACGTTGGCATTGGTCAGAACGGTGACGACGGGAACGTTCGACCGCACCTGCTGCTGCTGCTGCTGCTGCTGCTGCTGCTGCTGCTGGTTGGGAGCAGCAGCGGAAGGACCCTTGCATGCCGGCTTGTGGCGATCAAGTTCGTGCCTGGAAGGAAAGGAGGGGGAGGGAGAGGGAGAGGTTGAGGGTGGAGCAACAGGAGCATTCAGGCCAGGTGTGTGCTGCTGCTAGTGGTTGGGTTGGGAGTGGCAGCAGCGGAAGGACCCTTGCACGCCGGCTTGTGGCGATCAAGCTCATGCCTGGAAGGGAGGGAGGGAGGGATGCGGGGCAAAGAGGGGGAGGGGGAGGGAGAGGGAGAGGTTGAGGGTGGGACAACAGGAGCATTCAGGCCAGGTGTGTGCTGCTGCTAGTGGTTGGGTTGGGAGTGGCAGCAGCGGAAGGACCCTTGCACGCTGGCTTGTGGCGATCAAGCTCGTGCCTGGAAGGGAGGGAGGGAGGGATGAGGGGCAAAGAGGGGGAGGGGGAGGGAGAGGGAGAGGTTGAGGGTGGGACAACAGGAGCATTCAGGCCAGGTGTGTGCTGCTGCTAGTGGTTGGGTTGGGAGTGGCAGCAGCGGAAGGACCCTTGCACGCTGGCTTGTGGCGATCAAGCTCGTGCCTGGAAGGGAGGGAGGGAGGGATGAGGGGCAAAGAGGGGGAGGGGGAGGGAGAGGGAGAGGTTGAGGGTGGGACAACAGGAGCATTCAGGCCAGGTGTGTGCTGCTGCTAGTGGTTGGGTTGGGAGTGGCAGCAGCGGAAGGACCCTTGCACGCTGGCTTGTGGCGATCAAGCTCGTGCCTGGAAGGGAGGGAGGGAGGGGATGAGGGGCAAAGAGGGGGAGGGGGAGGGAGAGGGAGAGGTTGAGGGTGGAGCAACAGGAGCATTCAGGCCAGGTGTGTGCTGCTGCTAGTGGTTGGGTTGGGAGTGGCAGCAGCGGAAGGACCCTTGCACGCCGGCTTGTGGCGATCAAGCTCGTGCCTGGGAGGGAAGGAGTAAGGAATGAGGGGAAAGAGAGGGGAAGAGGTTGAGGGTGTTGGTGGAACAACAGGACCATTCATGCCAGGCGTGTGCTGCTGCTGGTTGGGAGTGGCAGCAGCGGAAGGACCCTTGCACGCCGGCTTGTGGCGATCAAGCTCGTGCCTGGGAGGGAAGGAGTAACGGAGGAGGGGCAAGTGGGGAAGGAAGGCAAGGGAGGAGGAGGGGGGTGGGGGATGGAAGGAACGAGGAATTTTTATCTTGGCGGGCGTGCCACTGGTGGTTGACAAAAAAATACTAGCATGGGTGTTGCACGAATCGCAGGGGTGTTTGATTTGAAGTCCTCGCATGGTTGCTCATCTCACCCCACTTTTGTGTTGCATGGAGACGCCTAAATGGAAACACTGACTCACCTGCGGGGGAAGCGAGTCCCACACGACTCGCAGGGGTGCTTGAAGTCCTCTCTGCGGTTGTGAGCCAAACTGTACTTGTTGTGGATGCTCATCTTCCCCCTGACTCGCGCCTAAAAGAGCACTGACTCACCTGCGGGGGAAGCGAGTCCCACACGACTCGCAGGGGTGTTTGAAGTCCTCTCTTCGGTTGTGCGCCAGGCTGTACTTTTTATGGTTGCTCATCTTCCCCGCATCGTGCGTTTTAAAGTCGCAGGAAGACCCGTCCACTCGCAGCAAGTTGCACTCGTACAGGCGGGCCGTCTTGCTGTGCACCTGTGCGTGGGGAGGACGGAGAAAGGAAGAAGCAGGTGGGTTTAAAGGTGGCCTTCTCGTGTCGTGGCGACGGAGGAGCGAGGAGAGTGGATGTTGTCAAACTATCTCAAGCTCTCGACTTATGGAGGTGACTTTTGAGTCGACTCAAAAGACTTCTCGTGTCGTGGCGACGGAGGAACGAGGAGAGTGGATTTTATCAAACTATCTCAAGCTCTCGACTTATGGAGGTGACTTTTGAGTCGACTCAAAAGACTTCTCGTGTCGTGGCGACGGAGGAACGAGGAGAGTGGATTTTATCAAACTATCTCAAGCTCTCGACTTATGGAGGTGACTTTTGAGTCGACTCAAAAGACTTCTCGTGTCGTGGCGACGGAGGAACGAGGAGAGTGGATGTTGTCAAACTATCTCAAGCTCTCGACTTATGGAGGTGACTTTTGAGTCGACTCAAAAGACTTCTCGTGTCGTGGCGACGGAGGAGCGAGGAGAGTGGATGTTGTCAAACTATCTCAAGCTCTCGACTTATGGAGGTGACTTTTGAGTCGACTCAAAAGACTTCTCGTGTCGTGGCGACGGAGGAACGAGGAGAGTGGATTTTATCAAACTATCTCAAGCTCTCGACTTATGGAGGTGACTTTTGAGTCGACTCAAAAGACTTCTCGTGTCGTGGCGACGGAGGAACGAGGAGAGTGGATGTTGTCAAACTATCTCAAGCTCTCGACTTATGGAGGTGACTTTTGAGTCGACTCAAAAGACTTCTCGTGTCGTGGCGACGGAGGAACGAGGAGAGTGGATGTTGTCAAACTATCTCAAGCTCTCGACTTATGAGACACATCAAACGATCTCAGAACCTTGGCTTGTGCGACGCCTCCCAAAGCATTCTAGAGCATAGGCTTTCGAGGCGCCTCAACCCACCACAGATTCTCGACTTATGAGACTCATCAAACCAGCTCAGACCCTCGACTTGGTACCTTGGCAAAGTGTTTGTTCATGTTGTCTCTGTTCTTGTACGTCTTCTCACACCCAGGCGCCAGACACATGAATCTCCCCTCCGCCCCAATCTCCCCTCCAGCACCCACAGCAACACAGCCACTCGCAGCAACAGCACTCGCAGCACCGCTCACCACCATCGCCCCATCTGCAGCACCAGCACCAGCAGCAGAAGCAGCAGCGGCTGCAGCAGCGGCAGCGGCAGCGGCAGCAGCGGCGGCAGCGGCGGCGGCAGAAGAAGAAGCAGGAGCGGGGGCAGCAATAGTGGGAATTAGACCAACCACAGCCCCATCAGAAGCTACCATAGCACTACGGCTTATTACCATCACCTCCAATCCGCGCGCAACACCCGAAGTTGCTCTATCACTAGCAAAGTTCCCATCCCTCCCACCCTCGGCAAAGTTCCCATCCCTCCCACCCTCGGCCCCACTAGCAGCTGCTACTGCATCAGAATTCCCTCTGTCCCCCCTCCCTGTCCCCCCTCCGACCCTCGCTCCTCCCTCCCCTTCTGCGCCTCGCTCCCTTTCTGTTCCTCCCTCCCCTTCTGCTCTTCCCTCCCCTTCTGCTCCTCCTTTCCATACTGCTGTTCCTACCTCATCCTCGTTGCTGCCTTCCTCCTCCCTTCTCCCCTCCTCCCTCCCCTCCGCCCCTCCCTCCTCCTCCCCGTTCTCACTCCCCTCCTCCATACCCTCCTCCATCCTCTCTCCCCCATCCGCCCTCTCACACTCCCCATCCCACTCCCCGCCACCCTCCCTCCCAATCTCCCTCCCACTCCCACACCTCATATACTTCCTCATAGGCACAGCGGATACAGTCACAGTAACCTCCGCCACCCTCCCCTGTCCACCCACCAACGGCTCCACACCCACACCCACACCCACATCACCCCCCTCCTCCTCCCGCTCTCTCTTCATCCCAACAAGCCTAATCTTTGCCTTATGAACGGCATGCGGGGGAAACGCGACCCCAGGAGAAACAGAACGGGCGAATGCATTCCCAGGGGAAACAGGCCTCCCCAGGGGTGAGGCAAAGGCATTCCCAGCAGGGGGGTAAGGCGAGGGAACAGCCTTCGCAGGAGAGGCAGATGGGGGGAGCGCGGAAGGCACACTGGTGTTTGTGGCGAATGCTTTCCCTGTAATGGCATCCCCTGGGCGCAATTGCAAGGCAGAATGTCTGACAGTGGCAGCATCTGCACTCGAAGCAGTAGGATTCTGACTTCTACTGGCGGGATCTTGCTTGTTGGCGTTGTTCCCACTGAAAGCAGTGGGGTTTTCACTGAACCCATTGCTAGATCCGTCGGGAGGGGAAGCAAGAGGGGGCGAAGGGTCCTCCTCCTGCCCGCTCCTTGCTGCTCCTGCAGGCCTTCTCGGGGCGTGTTCGCTGAATGCAGTTTCAGGGGTGGTGCCTTCAGCCCCAGTTACAGTTTCAGGGGTGCTACCTTCAGCACCAGTTTGCTGCTGCTGATGCTGCTGCTGATGCAACGAGTCCTCCTGTCCATCCCTGGCTGATCCCTGCTCGGCTGGTGATGCTGCAGTTGCTGCTGCAGCTGCTGCTGATGATGATGTTGATGGTGCTGCTGCTGCTGCTGCTGCTGTTGCAGTTCCTGCTCTTGCTCCTGCTCCTGCACGTACTCCTGCTGCTGATGCTGCACCAGCATCAGCAACACCGGCACCAGCAGCACCATCACCGGAAGCACCACCGACACCGGAAGCATCACCAGCACCAGCAACAGCAACGCCAGCAGCACCAATGGCACCGGCAGCAGTATCGCCAGCACCGGCAGCAGCACTGGCAGCACCGGCACCATCAGGAGCACCATCAGCACCACCATCAGCCACTGCAGGCCCCACTGCTACAGCTACCCTGTCAGATTCACTCAATTCTTGCAGCTGTGTCAGTAGAGGGGGCGGCAGCGGCGTTACATCTGGCATTACATCTCGCGTTACATCTGCTGCTACATCCTCGATTACATCTGGCGTTACATCTTGGGCGTTCGAGCCTGGACGGAAGCAGACTGCAGCAGGCGTAACAGGTGTCGCAGGAGCAGAGCACGTACCAGAAGGCCCAGCAAAACCACCTGAAAAACCACCTGGGAAACCACCTGGAAAAACACCTGGAAAACCGTCTGAGAACCTGTTACGATTTTGTCCGGTACCAGCAGCTGTAGCAGCACCTGCGAAGAGACGGGGCCTAGCACCACCGGCTGTAGGGGCAGAGGCTGTAGCACCGGCTATAGCATGAACTCTAGTGAACACCGATACAGTGGCAGGTGGGGCGGAGGGAGGTGGGAGCGAGAAGCAGCGAGGGCGGATGGTTGATGGTGGTGCATTCATGGCTTGGCATGGTTCGTCATCATTCGCACATGCCTCGTCATCCTCCCCACATGCATCATCCTTATCCTCTTCACATGCAACATCCTCCTCGCAAGCATCATCATCCTCCACAAACGCATGTGCATCTATACCAGCCAAACCACCACGCCAATAACCACCAATATCACCACATTCACCATCAGCAGCACCGCTGCCCATTTCACAGGCCACAGGCCCAGACCTAACGCCAGACCCCATACCAGACCTAATGCCAGACCTGATGCCGGACCTATTACTGGACGTGATGCCGAACCTCCCGGCAGGTGCGTTTGTGCCGGCCCTACCACCCTGCTCCACGCCGTTGACGGTACGTGTGTAGGCATAGCTAAGCTTCGTACGTCTATAGGCAGCCGCAGCGGCAGCAGCATCTTGAGCATGTGATTCATGTTCTTGCTGGTTGCCCAAGCTGCTTGGATCGTCATTGGCAGGCAGACACCCAGGGCCACTTGCATGGTCGGCATGTGAATTGGCAAGACCATGCGGGTGGGTAGAATCATGCATACAAGCGGGGTCATGCCGATTGTGAAACGCATGGGTGGTTGTAGTGGCATTGTGGGTGGAGATGCGGGGATGGTGGTGGTTGGTGGTTGCAGGGTTGCTGGAATGGGGATGCGGAGGAGCGTGGGGAGTGCTGGAAGGATTGTGAAAGGCATGATGGGTAAAGACGTGGGGATGGTGGTTGGCGGCAGTAGGGTTGTTGGAATGGGGATGGGGGGGAGGAGTGTGTGGCGTGCCGGCAGCAGCAGCATGAGTGCGAGCCCTGGCTGCTGCGTTCCGTTGGCCCTGGGATGGAGTGGGGAGGGGAATGGGAGAACGGGAGAACATGAGAACAGGAGAACGTGGGAGCTATTTGGGCGCCTCAAAAAGGGGTGGGGGCGGCAGCATGAGTGCGAGACCTGGCTGCTGCACTTCGCTGACCCTGAGATGGAATGGGGAGGGGAGTGGTAACATGAGAGACAGGGAGACAGACAGGCAGACAGGCAGGAAGACACAGAGGGAGGCTGCAGACGGTTAGTGGCAGAATGGAATGGGGAAGGGGAGGAGGAGTGTTGGTTGGGATGGGACTGCCAGCGTCAGCATGAGTGCGAGCCCTGGCTGCTGCGTTTCATGACAGTGTGGTGGGAATAAGGAGGGGAATGGGGGAGCGTGGAAGACAGGGACGGAGAGAGGGAGGGAGGATGGAGATGGTTAGTGGTATAGGGGTTCTTTCTGGAATGGGGAAGGCGAGCGCACATGTACTCATTCACCAGGCGAGCGCACGAGCGAGTTCTGGACCGAACTGAAAACACGATTCAAACCAAACATGCATGTAGGCACGCACGCACACAGTGCGGCGCATGCAACCCATCATGCGAGCGAGCACACACGCACGTACTCACACGCACGTACTTACACGCACGTACTCACACGCACGTACTCACACGCACGTACTCACCAGACGAACCAGGTTGGTGCCTGCCTGCTTCAGCACTGCTTCTATTCGCCTCAGCACCTGCAAAAAGAAGGCCAAATAAACGTTAAAAAAAAAAAAAACAAAACAATCACTTTTTCTACAAGGCGCAGGCCTAAGCTAATAAATCATGTCCTAAGCATAGCACTTCAGTCAGCGCCACCTTAACACTTACATCAGCTGTCTGCGCTTTGACGTCCACCATCGAGACATTCGCAAGCATCTGGGAAGAGGGGCGGGCAGAGGAACAGAGAGAGCAAGCATTGAGGAGGAGGGCGAGCAGAGAGCGACGCAACAGATAGAAGAGCGCACCAGAGATGCTTAGGGTTTCGGGTCTAAGAACAACAAACATAGAAACGGGAACAACATTCACAGGAAGGGCGGATGGAGCGCATATAGGGACGACTGCATCGCATATGGTGAGATTGAACACAGATAGCAACATCTGGCGAACAATGTGACATCTAACACAAATAGCGACATACAGCAAATACAGTGACATCGAACACATTTAGCGATATTGAACACAACACAAGTAGCGACATTAACCGCATCGCGTAAAGTGATATAGAACCAAAAAGAAAACAAACATCGACCGCATATAATGACGCTGAACACAAATAGCGACATTGACAGCGTATAGCGATATTTAACACAAATAGCGACAGTGACGGCACCAAGCGACAAGAGATAACGAAAACACGTGGACCACAGACACGCATGATGCACACATACACCAATGTCCATGCTTAGGAGGGGCTGCGACGCGGACGACGCCAATTCACGAAATTTACAACAAAGCCCACTTCCAGGCATAAGAAGCGCGCATGCACACATCCACCAGGGTCCACGCGGAGACAAGGACAAAACTTACAGCGGATTCCAAATTTCACAACAAAACTTTCCAAATTTCACACACACACACACACACACACACACACACACACACACACAAAAAACCCTTTTTACCACGATAAGCAGCATGCATGCGCGCATACAGCGGGATCCATGCAGAGGCAGGCAGAGGCGAGTACGAAGCCCAATCACCTACTTTTACAACAAAGCCCATTAACAGACATAAGCAGCGCGCATGCGCACATGCAGTGGGGTCCATACAGAGGCAGCCAGAGACGAGGACAAAGCTTATTCACCGACTGTTACAACATATTTCATGCAGACATAAGCAGTGCGCATGCGCACATACAGTGGGGTCCATACAGAGGCAGCCAGAGACGAGGACAAAGCCCCCGGATCGAACCATCTCGTCGTCTCTTTCAATGCTCCTGGTAAGAAGAGGAGGGAGAGAGAAGCAGGAAAGTGGGGAGCAAAGGCCGGGGTGAGGAACAGAGGAGAGCATGGTGTATGGGAACTGTCTTTGCATCATCATCATTCCATTCTCGCTTAGATACATCATCCGAGAGCCATGCTTCCTTCCTGGTGCTTCTCCTACTGCATACATACACCGACTTACTCAGACGACGGCGATGCTTCTCCTCCTTCTCTTTCTTCGGCTTCTGCTGCTGCTGCTTCTCCTTCTCCGCCTCCTCTTCCTCCTCCCCCTCCCCTTCCTCCTCCTCCTCCCATTCCTCCTCCTCCTCCTCTTCCACCTCCTCCTCCTTCCCTTCCTCCGTCTCCTCTCCCTCTTCCTCCTTCTGGATCTTCACCGCCTGCACCCGCCGCGCTTGGCGCAGCTTCAGGCGATTGGGGGAACCGGCTCTGTCGTTCCTCTTCGTCTGGATTCATCTTGGAGAATTACTTAACTGCGCTCCTTTCCTAGCTTCTCACAGGCACTGTGCATGCACACTAGACCGTCTAATAGTCGGACTTACTAGCAGAATGAAACGTGAAAATAATTGTCCCTCACCGCCAATTTCTATGCCGCCGCGCGCCGATCAAAAACTTGAACCGCGCGCTAAATAATGTGCACCCAATGGATTGTTGACCGAAAACCTACTCTGTTTGCACACCAGATCTGTTTTTTGAGATGTCTCTACAACCTTTCTCGTTGCACGTTAGTGCTGCGAGTCGCAGCAACTTCACGAGACTGCTCTGAATCTAATCAGGATGCGTCGTCGTCAATCTCGGCACGATGTCGCATAATGTCGCCGTGATGCACACGATGAACACGGCGCGGCACGACTCGTGGACGGAGGGCGTCGCAAGGGACCCGCGCGACGCGAAAGACGAGGCCACGTGAACGAACACGTCGGAACCATCAACGCGGCGAAGATGGCGATTCGGATACCAGGAGACACGCTCACCGCGATGAATTAATGATAGATCTCGGAAGCAAGGATATTCTCCGGAAATTTACACGGGTTCTTTCCGAGTAGTAGTACTGCAATAGGAAATTGCTTTGTAAAGACGACGATACGGAGCTTTCTGACCTATGAAAAACAAATCAAAACGTCGCGTAGTCTCTTAATGCTCCATAAATCGAAAAAAATGCCCAGCTCAACGCTGAAACGACCACAATATGAAAAGTGAGCGCACCACCCGAGTCTGAAAGTCTAAAATCATCTGAAGGCGAAAGTGCAAAATATTTTCAATGGAGTAAAAAAAACCGGTTTTCCGAACAAGTTCGACGAAATTACGTTCTCCTGCACTGCGTTGAGAATGAATGTGCTCGAAAACGAAAAAGGCTATCGCACCACTGAACAGGACAAGGAGACGTGTCGCAAATGTGCCTTTTTAGCTTACTATCACCCGTCTAGGCCAACAAGCACGTATTGCCAGTGCACAGAAACACTTCACAAGAACTACAAGTGAGGGGAATTGGAGGGAGAAATCATCATGCTACTACTACATCCAGCCACAACCCTAACCATTTCACCAGTACACAGTTGGCTGTCTCTCTGTCTCTCCATCCAGCCTGCTCACTTGGCCTTACTCGAACCTTATCAAGAGCCCGTCTTCCGACTGATAGGGCGCATTCTTGATTGGCAATACGCGTCTTTTCCGCCTCTTCGGTGTTTTTGGAGAGGTGTGAACGCTCGAAAGTCGTGGACAGCTGTGACGAGGTCGCTGTTTTCTTGTGTGCGATAACACTTGCAATGCCACCTGTTCTGCGTCCTTTGCATTCAGAAAGGTTTGTTCTAGAACATTCTTGCAAGAAAGTGGTTTGACCAAGTCACATCGCACCCTTGCTCCGAAAGTGCAATCAAGAAACAGCCCCTGCGCCGTCCGATTCAAGAATTTTGGTACCAGATCGTCGGTACATGTGCATTGGGTCCGCGTCATTTCGGGGTTGGATCGTAATGGACGAACCAGATGCACTTTGAGTGTTCCTTGCTGTATGGACGACGACTGACCACGTGGAGGAAAGAGCTCCTTCATCTCAACATTCTTCCAACCAATCACATCTGTAGCAAGAACAGCGTATTTGGAAAACGTACCCGTATCATGTCATTCGTTAGCCGAATACTTTCAGCAACACATTTAGCCATCTTGGTTTGATTCCCCATTGGGTGAGTTTCATCTACCCACACAGTTGTATTAATCAAGATTTCGAATTCCTGAAGTTCCCAGTCGTCCCTCCTTGCCACAACCTACTTAGAGAACATTTTAGTATAGTATGCATTGCGGTATGTGGCAATTCGTTGCCAGGCTAGCTTCTTGCTCCGCTCTTAGCTGCTGCAAGATTATCTTACTGCAACATGGTGTACAAAAATGCATCCACTCCAACTGTCAAGGCAATGGTTAACAAACTCCAGGAACAAAAAGGTTAATCATAGCAGCCTGCTGCTGCCCAATCACATGCAGCCATCTGTCACACCAGGAACCAGGGAGAGTTGTTGCTGTGGTTGCCAAGCCAACCAGTTACATCCAAACAAACAGGCAGCTGAGCAATTGCCACGCCACAAACGCAAGCAAGCAGACAGAGAGACAGTGCCAAAAAGGATAAAAAAATCACCCCTTTGAATGTGACAAGATGCAATCACGAGCAGCAATCACAAGCAGCAGTCACAAGCAGCAATCACAAGAAGGAATTACAAGCACTCACCTGCCAGACCAGGCAGCTGAAGAGCCAAAAGGCATGCAGTTGCCGCAAAAGCAAGCAGTCTC